AAAATGCAGAGACTTTAGAAAATTAATCATACTGATAGTCATTTATTCATTCTAAAATTCTGTTTACGACTTTTGCCATTCTCAATGCGATTTGGTAGGAAAAGTCAAAGACTTGATAATAAATGGATTTGAACTTCAGACCCAGTACATTGCCAATTTGCTTGTGTAAAGCTAAAGTTCATTAATTCATCATGTTTATCGAACACTCCCTGTGAAGAGCAGAGTTCTAGGGATAGGTGCTGGTACCTCTACAGGGTGGCAAAAAGATGCATTCCTATCCTCCTGGGACTTAGGATCTGGTAAGGATAAAGAAACTAAATGAAGAAGAATTAAAAACTCATGGAAAGGAAAATAAAGGTAGGCAAGAATTAAACAGAGGCACCTAATCCAATTTTCTGGAATTAGAGAAGGTTGCCTTCAGAAACGACATCTGAGCTAAGACTGGAAGTTAAACATTTTTCCATTCCTGTTTCTTCATCTTTCTCATGAACCTGTGGGATGAGTGAAATATCTTCTTTGTCTCCCCACGGGGGAAGTAAGCACCCACAGAGTTTTATCCTAGGTTCCATCTAGTATCTCGTGGTTTTAGTCAATTCATCTATGTCAGTGGCTCTTACTAAAATGTCTCTGCCTCACACATCTGTAACCCCAACTGCATCCTCACATTTCCAAATACCAGACTTTTCTCCCTCGCCGAGCACTTCCAACTCAGTATGTCTCATCTTTCTCCCAAATATTCTCTTCTCTAGTTCCCTTTTTTGCCAACACTATCACCATATTAAGGAACCCTGGTGGTGTAGTTGTTATACAGTTGGCTGTGATCGGAAAGGCAAGCAGTTCGAAATTAGGAGCCACTCCGAGGGAAAAAAAGACTGGGCTTTCTACTCAGGTAAATCGTTACAGTCTCAGAAACTCACAGGTAGCAAGTGCTACCCCGCCCTATAAGGGTCACTCTATGAGTCATCATTGCCTCCATGGTGGTGAGTTTGGTCTTTTGCTTTGGTGGCATAGTGGATCACACATTGCACTGCTAACCAGAAGGTCATCAGTTTGAATCCAGCAGTCATCCATCAATCACCAGTTTGAATCCATCAGTCAATCTAAGGGGGACAGATGAGACTGTCTGGTCCCATAAAGAATTAAAGCTTCAGAAAACGAAAGAGATTTTGCCTGTCGGGGTCCTATGAATTGGAATCTACTTGATGGCAGAAGGATATGTTTTTCATAGTCTCAGTCACTTAATACATGGGACTCAGTGAATGAAAAATTATAGTGGGCACTAATTGACCACAAAAGGAGATAAATGTTTTTTTAATCATTTTATTGGGTGCTCTAAACTTTTTTTAAAGATCATTTTATTGGGGGCTCTTACAGCTCTTATAATAATCCATACATCAATTGTATCAAGCATATTTGTACATATGTTGCCATAATTATTTTCTAGACATTTACTTTCTATTAAGCCCTTGGTATAATCTCCTCTATTTTCCTTGCCTCCCCTCCACCCTCGTGATCCCTTGATAAATTATCAATTATTATTTTCATATCTTACACTGAGTACTGTCTCCCTTCCCCCACAGCTTCTAATGTTCGTCCCCCTGGAAGGGGGGAGGGAGTGGTGGTTATGTGTTGATCATTGTGATAGTTTCTCCCTTCCTCCTTTACTCTACCCAACTTCCCCCTACCCTTCTGTTATCGCTACACACACACACACACACACACACACACTTCATCCCTACTGACTATCTGGTTTTGTAGCTCACCAGTGCCCCAAATCTTTCACACTCAAGTTCTTAACTGAAACTCATTCCCATGGAGTCAATGCTGACTCATAGCAACCCCCTGTAGGTTTCAGAGGCTGTAACTGTTTATGGGAGTAGAAAGCTCAGTCTTTCTCCCACTGATAGTTTCAAACTGCTGACCATGAGGATTGCAGCCCAACTCGTAACTGTAACCACTGCACCACCAGGGCTCCTATACTAAAGGTAGCTTTGTAAATTTCCAAAGTTTTTAAGGTTTCCCAAATAAGCCAACCTGTTCTTTCACATATTGGTGATTTCATATTAATTGTTCTTTAGTTTAAAATGCTTCCCCCCTGGAGTCTCCTGGTGAATTCACAATAATCCTAGTAATTGACTGGTGCCAACAGTTAAATTCAACCACCCAGAGGCACCTCTGAAGAAAGGCGTGGTGATCTGCTTCCCAAAGGCCACAGTCTTGAAAGCCTTATAGCACATGTCTCTGCATATACATGTTACCAGGAGTCAGAATCAACCCGACAACAACTAATGAAAACAACCTCTCAGTCAAATGTTACCTTCTTGATAAATGCTTCTCAGATAGTCTTAGGCAGAACTTAAGATTCTTTCCTAACACCTTCCCTCGTACTTTGTACATGGGCTACGAAATCACATATCCTCGGCTATCATTGTTAATTATTCATGAATCTTCGCAAGGGCAATTGCTTCATATAACTCACCTTTTGTTCTCTTTGGAACGGCCTGTAGAATAGATAATAACTGTGCCACGAACAAATAAACAATAAGTTAATGAATGAGCCTCACTGGTCGCATGTACCATATTCTACCCTGTGCTGTCATTAAGTATAACTCCATCTCTGCGTGGATGACAAAGTCTTCCAGAACTAGAAAAATGTGATTGACTTTTGCTTCCCCAATCAAGTCTCCACCACCCACCTTTCAGTTTGTATTTCTGTGGTGGCCTGGAATCTATGCAACACGTCTCTCAAATATCATCAGGGTCACCTACAGTAGACATGGTTCCTTAGAACTCAAGGCTATGACTGACAAGGAAAATGACATGGTGATTTACTGTTTAATATCAATGAAAACCCTGTAAAGCACAGAAGAATATTGTCTAACACAGTGCTGAAGGATGAGCACTCTAAGCTGGAAGGCACCCAAAATACATAGTAGGACACAAGTGGGTCAGCACTCATAAGTCTGGCATGGGACTGGCAATGTTACCTCAGGTTGGATATGGGCCACCATGAGTAAAAGCAGACTCAACAGCAACTAGTACCAGCGCCTCTATGGTCTACCCTGATGCCTACTGTTTGAAATAATGAGTAACATTCTTTGATCTGGTAACACACTTCACACTTTACAAAGCTATTTCACATGCATTATTCCATTTGCCCTTCACAATAACCCTATGGCATAGTGGTTACGAGTTGTGCTGTCGTCCGAAAGCTTGGTAGTTCGAAACCACCAGACTCTCCACAGGAGAAAAATAGGGCTTTCCAATCCCTTAAATAGTCACAGTCTCATAAACTCACAGGGACAGTTCTACCCTGTCCTACAGGGTGGTTATGCATCAATATCAACTCGATGTCAGTGAGTGAGTTTTCTAGGTCTGGCTGATTGGTATTGTCCCTGTGCAACAGACAGCGCAGGGGGGATCAAACCCTGGGAGCCCTACTTTCCAGTGTTTACTCCATGCAATCTTCTTAAGAGAAAGGTCAGAGCTATTCATCAATTCCTTGGTTTTATTCAGAGTTTGATGATAAATCTAGAAGCTCGCCAGTGCTGTGGGGGAGGGGGGAACTGGATTCTTATCTACACCTCTTGAATGAGTCTAATATGAATTATTTGAGTGAATATGAAGGTTTGGCGTGTACATAAGAGGATAAAGTAAAGGGGTAGAGGGCAGAAGAAACTGAATAAATATTTTGAGCAAGAAAAATATTCTAGGGGATCTGAAAAGAGATTCATCAGCCTCTATAAGTTGGGCTGCTATGTATGGCAGTATCAGGAGGTACTTAGTAATAGTTCCTAAAATTTAACCACTTTGTTTTAGGAGTGATTCTACACAAACTGAAAGAAACCAGAATCTATACAATGTTGGAAGCCTTCAGCTTGCCACCTGCTTCAAAGGCTCTACTTAACTGTTCTGTTATAAATATTTTCCAAATTGGATATATAAAGATCTGACAAGCAAGGTTGCCTTGAGTTTGCAACTCCTACTTATAGAGTCATCACATACGTGTGGATCGTCGCTGAACTTCAAAGTCTCCTTATCACACTATGTCCCCGTGCTTTTGAAAGTTAAAGAGGTCACTTGAAATCTGCTTAGGGCAATCTCTAGACAACCCATCCATGGGTTCCAGAGGAATCAAGCCCCAGAAGGTGAGATCGTTTGTGTTAGACAGGCTCTTCTGGAAGCATTACTTATTCCACTGAGCCTACCCTGGATGATCTACCTGACCTTTCTTCAAGACAGGGTATCCCATTAAGCCCAGACCCTCTTCTGACTTCATACTTTCCGGGCCCTGCATAAACACAGGCCCCCTGTATAGGTCGACAGAGTCTCTGTCCTCCCTGCCATGGAGTTTACCCCCACCAGCCCTGCTGGGTGGCTTGACCATCCTGGGATGGTAGGGAGGGAAGCATTTACGAAGAAGGCTCTTCAATCTCAGGTAAACCCATGACCATTAGGGAGCCAGAGAGAGTCAAGATCACGAAGGTCTTGTCCAGGACCCATCCTTCCTCCTATCCTGGGAACTGTTTAAAGTCGCTTTCCAGGTACCAGCGAAGCAATGTATTGTGGTGCATGCAAGTGAGGGTGCAGAGTGGAGAGGTTAGACTGGAGTCAAGAATTGACCTTTATGCTGCCCGTCAGTAGGAAACCCTCACCTTCCCGAGCCCTATCCAAGTACAGCGAAGAGTCCAGCCACTGCAGGCATGAGAGCCTTGAGAGGGGTGTCGAGAATGGGGAGACGTTCTCCATTGGGCCCCAGACCTTTAGCAGACTTCCAGTCTCAGGGCTTCTCTCCAGGGGGGCACCCCAAATCCTTCTTGGGAGTGAGGGTACCAGTCCCAGTGGTCTGAACCCGCTGGATGCCCGCCCAGGAAGGAAGACTATGGGAGCCCTGGGGGGCACCCCCACCCCACAGACCCTGCGCACCCGGCCCTCAGACAGCCACCCGTGGGAGCGCTGAAGGTAGAACGGAGGGAGCCCTGCAGCGCTTCCGGACTGACCTGAGATGCCGCCCCCCACCACGACCACATCGCATTTGCTGCTCATGGCGCTCAAGCTCTTCGGGAAAGGGACTCGGCCTCCGCCCGCCGCAGCTCGCTGCCTGGCTGGCTCGCTCGCTTGCGCCTCCACGGAGCCCCTATATGGGCCGCCCGGGCGTGCCGGGAAGCCGAGCCCCGCCTGCCGCAGACGCGCAGCCGGGGCAGGGAGCTGGGCTTCCGCCCCACAGGACAGCCGCAGCGCCAGCTGGAGGTGGGAGGGAGGGGGTTCGCAGGGGCCAGGAGGTCACCTGGAGCGAGCTCCCGCGGGGGCCCTCTTCAGGCCATCACCCTTTGACCTTCATGGTGTTTTCCTGTTGGCCTCCCTAGTGCACTGTGGCACTTAGGGGCTGGGAGGTGGGGCACATAGGATGCAGGCCTTAGGTGTGCTAGTGATGTTCTGATGTGGAGCGATGATGACTAGGTTGTGGTGTGCCATCGAGTCAATTCTAACTTCTAGTTACCCTATATAGGAAGGAGTCGAACTGCCTGGCTGTCAACTTCATGGAAGCAGACAGTCACAGCTTTCAACCCCCCACAATGCAATGCGGAACCACTATTACAGCAGGGCCCCTAATAAGGATAAAAAAACCAAAAAGCTACAGCCACTGCCATCAAATGAACTCCCACTCACAGCGACCCCGTCTAGGGTTTTTGAGACAGTAAATGTCTATCAGAGCAGACAGCCTCCGCTTTCTTCCTAGGTGACACTGCTGACCTTGCCATAGTAGTCCAACACAGCGCCCACCACACCACCATAAGGCCTTGGTAATGGAAGTAGTAAACATTAGTGGAGCATTTTTCGAGGTTCTAAGCACTGCAGTTTACATGCATTCTTACACTTAAACCTGCCAACATATTTATATTCATCTCACAGATGGAAAAATGAGTGGAGAAAGCAACACAACAAATAGAAATAAATAAGCCAGGGCGATTCCAAGGCCAACACTAATCCAACTTACAGTAATGCAATTTATATTGACTGTCCATCCACCTCACCCTCCTCCCACCCCACTTTCTACTGCATTCACACAGCCTTTACAGCCATAATTACCCTCAGGAAGTTCTCAAACACAGAACCTACAGAGAAATATTCTCCCCTACCTTAAATTACTCCATGTTTGCAAATAATCAAGAGAGTCAACTGAATGCTGAGCAACCCAAGGTATTAGGGCTTACTGCTAAGGAGGCAATAGCCCTGGAGGCTGAGATGTGGAGAAGCCTCCCATGACCAGAGCCAAGTTCAGAGATCCCTTAGAGCAGCCATCAGCATTAGTTATGTGGCTCTGAGGACGCTGATTTTGCTAACCATAGGGTGACCCAACAATACTTTATGTATTTCAGCTGAGATGGTTTCGGGTAAAACAGAGGTGTATCTCTTTAAAACGCTAGGAAAGACTCCTCTGGGAACAAAAAGTGGGAAGAAATGAGGGAAGGTTTTCCAGATATGATGTGGGCAGTACTTCTGTTCAGACGAGGAGGGTTCCAATCTGGGGAATTGACGAAAGCCTGGAGCAAACCTCTACATTATCCTGCCCCATTCTTTGTGTCCACTTGCCACCAAAATATTCTGAATTTCTGACAGCCCCAAACTAGAAGGGGGTTTGGGCACATCTGTGATTGAAAAATCAATAGTATCAGAGAAAGTTTGGTGCAGCTCTGACTTGGGTTCTGAGGTAGTTAGTTTATTGTGCCAACCTGGCTGATAAACACATGTGGAGTTAATTGAAGGGTGGAGGGATAAATTGCTCAGTGAGCCTCGCCTTTCTAGTTCTCGGGTCTCTTGCTTTGTGATGGTCAGACAAGGGTGCAGCTGCCTTAGCCAGTTCCCTGCTTTATCTGGCAAGGCTCACTTCCTGCAAGACATCCCTGAGGAGAAGCCACATGGACCTACCCTAATGCAGCGCTGTGTGCTGGAGCAGCCGTGTGGAGACCCCTGCCAGCACTGAGATGCCTACGCGCTCACTGACTCTGCTTTCCTCCTGCAGTTGGCATCACTGTGTCTGTTTTGTGAGATGGAGGAGGACTTTGTGGACTGGTGTTGGAGATATGGGTTAATGGGTTAAGGTTGGGCTTGTGGGCTTGGGCAGCACTGGGTTGGGATGTTTTCTTGATGCACAATTAACCTTTATATAAAAAACTCTCTTATGCATGAGTTTCTGTGGATTTGTTTCTTTTAAAGTACCCAGACTAATACAGGTTCTATAAACTCCCTTCTCTTCTGCTTTGAGATAAAACAGACAGACTTTGAACCTCAGCTGTACTCGGGCCTCTAAACCCTGAGTCCTGCCTTATCCTCTCAATGCAGGTCATGAAGCCACTTCACCTTGTTTATGGCCCGTACTGGTCTCATCCTTGCATGCATTTCCTGGTCCAACTCCATTCACAGGGCCCTGAATCTGCAGGCTCTTTAGTTGTGGACACTCTGTCCCTTCCTCTTGTGTTAGATGACGTGAGATATGTGGAGAGAATCCTTGTGAGATCTGCTTGGGATCATTTTGTTTAGTTGCAACGATGAAAAGTCAATCAGGGTCCTGGGTATGCAAGGCTCTGCATCCAATTCAGGGTTGATATTCCTTCTAGTGCCAACTGACAGTGAGGCCAGATGAGGAACTACAGCTCCATGGTGTTTGCGAGGAAAGCTCATCGACAAATGGAATTGTCTGCAGGCAATTGTTCATTAAGGAGTAAAACAAATGGGTTGAACTAGAACTCGAGGAGGACCAGGAGCCTTTAGAAGCTCTTTCCGGATCCATTTCCGGATATACATGTAATCATCAGGTGTATTCAGTCTCCTGGGTGCAGTGATTTCTGAGTTTTCTCTCTCATCTGTGGGCCGATGGAACCTCTAAAATCAGAACAATTTATTAAGCACCAACTCTGTTAGTTATTGTATTCAGCATTATAAACAGGAAAGGATGCTAATCCTGGCAAAACAAGATACAAAAACAGACAATTACTATAAACCTAATTTATGTGCCTATAGAAGGATGCAAGAAGTGCATCTTTAACCAAGAAGTGCCGAGGAGTGCTCCTGGCCTCTAGCACTTTGTTTGCCTTTGGAATTGATGAAATCCATGTTGCTTTCATCAATTAAAGTGAACTTACTTGCCTTTCATTTTTTATTAGAAGACTGCCAAAGAGATAAAATGTCCTTATTACCTCTTGCTTGCTGTCAGCTTTTTATTAACGGATATTTCAGTGGGTTTCTTATGATACCACAAGGGGTTTCAATAAAGAAGCAGGCTGTGCAGAACAGAGTTCATCAGATATTATCTAAGTTGAGTCTATTGCACTTTTTTAAATGCTGGAAGCTTGACAGGAGAGGAAAGATTTTTATTTTTTAATTAGATTCTTTAGAGCCTATCAACTTATTTTCCCCCATACACTTATTACTCTTTTTAAAAACGTATGTTGAAGGATAAAAATGGCAAAAGGGCCAGCAAATGCAGTCAGCATTACTTTTAAATAATATTAACTTGGAAGTGTTATAAGATTCCTAGGTTTTTCTTGTAAAACATCCATAATCGCCTTGGATCCTAGCCAGACATGGTCGAAAACTATTCCTTGTGGGCAATGAGAAGTCAGTAGGAAATCCTTCAATGGACCAAGACCTTGCATTTGGCCCCAAGGACTTTCACAAGAAGACATCACATCCACCAACAGCCCAAGAGTTGGGCGATCCCAACTTTAGCCCAAATCAAAGCCCTCCAAAGGAAGCTGGATTAGAGGACTCAGAATCCCATAGGGTGGTTAAAGCCACCAAACGAAATACCAAGATAAATCAAAAAGTTGTTAGGATTCCAGTTCATGCTTGTACTGGTTTTTTTTTTAATGTTTAAGCATGTCTTTGTCATCAGTGGAAGGTTTCAGACTTGTTCTTTTAGTAATATACTTATCTTAATCTTGTTAGGTTATCTTTAATAAAAATATGGCTTCCAAGGGGATCTTCTGAGCTCATTAAATTCAAGGCACAGAAGTCAGCTCAGAAGGTTGTGGTGACTGTTTTAGGGATGCTAAAATGTTCATTTGAACAGAATTTCTCAAAGGACACAGGAAAATCCAAGGGACTTACTATGAAGACATTTAAAGAACCTTATAAACTGTATTGGTGGTAGAAAGGTAAGGGACATTGTGCCAAGGTTTTTTCTTTTGTCTATCCTGACATTCCAAAAGAGTAGCAAGGATTGGAGGGAGGGGGGAGCGGGAAGGGAGGGGAAAATGAGGACCTAATGCCGGGGGTTTAAGTGGAGAGAAAATGTTTTGAGAATGATGTACAAATGCGCTTTACACAATTGATGTGTGTATGGATTGCGATAACAGTTGTATGAGCCCCTAATAAAATGTTAAAAAACAAAAAGAGTAGCAAGGATGGTCCTATGAAAATTTGGGTTCGGGGAGGTCAGGGGAACCTTAGCCCACCCACCCTATACCCCTGATATTAACCCTTCAGACTTCTTTTTGTCCCCCAAACTCAAAGAACATTTAAAAGGAACTTGATTAGTGTTCCTCAATACCAAAACAGCTGTTTTGACATGGTGTAAATTGAAGGGTGCTGACTTCTTCAGGGAAGGTTTAGAGAAACAGAAACACTGCCTTCAGAAGTATACAGACCTAGCTGGAGGATATGTTTAAAAGCAATGTTTTCCACGCTTTTGTATTGTTGTTTAATAATTACCTTTGTAGCAGTACTTTTGACTTTTCCTTGAGCAGGTATCCTAATCTAGAATTAGATCAGGCAAAAGCAAAATAACAGGTGGATGTTCATAACTCATGTTAACAGGCTAGAATCGATGTGGATGCACTGGGTTGGCTTTATAGAGACAAGGTTGAGATGGACAGTAAAAGATACTCTTCCTTCCCAAAGAGCCACAATGTGTCTCCTTTCCCCAAATCCAAATTACTACAGAAAAGATAGAACAGGGAACACAGGACTTTAACACAAAGGGGTTAGCCCCAGATCCAAAGATTCAGAAGGACGAAGCTACAAGGCTTCAGAAAGATAGAAGTCATACATAGACATATAACAATGCATATTGAAAACAAACAAAACTAGCTTTGCTATCAGACAGAGGGCATT